ACCAAAAAGAAGAAATGAGGAATACAGACTTTATGTTGGCAAATATGGGTATTTGGGAGTTTGTACTCTATATCTAAAGCATGACCAGAAGCGGATTTAACCAAATGAGTGGTCTTTTGAAAATATTTAGTTGGAATTAATCCGCACGGCCATCCAGATCTAGCTGCTTCAATACCTTTGAAGGTTGGCGGTAGTCCGCACCACCAATAAAGATTCGAAATATACGGGAATTCCATTATAGTTTAATGACTGTATGGAATGATCTATATCCTTTTACCCAAGCAAGGGGCCTGTCTAGATCCGATACATACTCTTATTGAGCCCATGTGTCTAGCAGTTCTAACTGTGAAAGGGATAGCCCTTTTGACAACTTCAGCGGGCTTTAATGTCACAGCTGGCTAGACGTAGCCACTAAGGCAAAGCCAATAAGAGTAGTACTAGAGTCGACTGTACCACCATCTTGGAACCAAGCTAAGAAACTATATTAAAATTCCTTTATATTTTGAAAGAGTCTGGATTCTTCATGGTTAATATGCAAGAGAAATTAGTTCTTCAACATAGATATGAATCCGTTTAGCCGGACATAGTCACGGCTGGGGAGAGAAACTAAGTATATGAAATACTAAAAAGAAATAGAATAAATACCTTGAAGGCCGAGAAGCAAGGCCCTGAAGATGAACTGAACCTCAAAACTTTTATTAATCTTCAACTGATTTACAAACTAATAAGCTAAATCTGTACAAAGGGAGTTGAGGGAGAGAGAGAGGGGGTTCCGACCCTTGCTTCTTCAAATGAAGAAGTCTTCTTATATAACAAAAAAAAGAATCTAAAATAGTAAATTGGGTCCCACATCTGGGTCCCTACACAGTGTTTCTATTGTTGTTGAACAGTGTTTCTACTGTGGATGAACAGTGAATCTACTGTTGAGTGGGTCCTGGCGGCTGGTAAGCTGTCAAGTCTTTTTCTTGTCCAAATTGTGCATTTGTTGGAGGAAATCTTCCACCTTTTCTATATCTCTGTCAGATAATATTATCTCTGGCTGTATTTGTTGTGTATCTTCCACGAGGTCATCACCACTTGTTTCACTTCGCATTGAAGTTTCTGATTTTTCGCACTGATCCAGTGTTTGAAGCAAGTTTCTTTTCACTTCTTCCAAGTATTGATTTATCAAATCAATTTTATCTCCTTCTTGAATTGAGATTCTTCGAGCAATATGTTTAACTGTGCTCTCTTCTATCATCTTCTTTTGAGGGGTCGTTATATATATTTGGATTTGTGTTTTAATAGAATCCAATAATTCTTGTCCATATAATGTTTTTGTTTTGGGATCAGTCTTCATCAATTTGTCCCAAAAATTGTTGTAAAATATCCTATATAAACAAGATTTGTTCTTCCGTAAAACCTAATTCAGGAGTCCATTTATGAATCCAGGGGATAGAAAATTCAATAAAGAAGTAGATTTGATCAATTTTTTCTAGGTAACAGATATGATCTGCGTGATATAACTCGGTTAGGAACGGTGAAACTTTTGCCCATTCTTTGTATAACTTAAGGAATGATTCAGGCAGAATTTTTGTTGTGGGATCGTGGTATGACCACCAGTTTAAAAACCAGTTAGGGATAGGTCCTGTAAATACCTTTGCACATACTTTGATAAACCAAGTATGTTTATGTCTCTCATTATTATAATAAAGTACCCTATCAAATGCTTGGATATAATGCCAATAAGTAAAATTCATAGGTGATTTATTAAGGCTTATCTGCCTTTCTTTCATTGTTGAAATCCCCCATTCTTCAACAGATATAATCTGTTTGATAATGACTTTTGAAAAGTTATAAACATTTTCATTTGTGTTATAACCCGAAAAGTGCTGAAATTCTGCACTTCCTGTACTGATTAGGATAGTTTTATAATAAGTGCGGGTTTTATATGATTCACCCAGGTAGTATAATCCATTAATCAGATATCTCTGGAATATTTTCCATGGTTCTTCTTTTCTCTGAATCTCAGAATTTTCAAGGAGAAATATCATTTCTTTCTTTGGTAATTTTTCGTATGACTTGATATCATCGTTGTCTTCTTCTTTAGCAATTGAAGCAAAAATATGACTTTGCTTTTTGGATGCCAAATAAGCTTGCAGATGTCCATATAAAGGACTATCTTCTAAAATATCTTCCAGATGTATAGAATGTCCTGATGATTCACGTGTATGAGGTACCTTTGAGTTTATCAAACTCTTTTTTCCTCTTTGTATTACTGGAGAATTTGATGAGGATCCGTATGACGATCCTTGAGAGTAAGTCCTACTAGGGGAAGATCTTCCCCTACCTCTGCCCCTGGTGGCCCATGAAGGGTCCATTCTGCATAAATAACAAGTCATTAGTAATTTAAAAAGATATCATAATTCTATCGCCGATATAATCCTGGCTGGGGAATTCATTTTCAATTAACTGAAGAATATTAGTAACTTCATTAAAATTAGAGCATTCTTCTTCAATATTATTAATAGTGTCAGCCATAATTTTATCAAGTATGAGACCCTTTAAGTCTCTGTTTAAATTAATCGCTTTAAGAATAGTGATTAACACCTTATCATCTAATATCATGGTATAATAACTCATATTTTATTCTAAATGTTCCCGGATAGAAAATCTGGAAGGGAATTATCAATTCCTTTTTTGTATTGTATTTCAAAATCGAAAGGCGCCAGCTGAGCCTGCCATCTAGCAAATATTAATTTAGAAGCACCGTGCTTAAAATCTTTGTCAAACATATATTTAACAGATTGAGCATCAGTTTTTATTAAAAACTTTTGGTTATACAAATCGTCTTGAAATTTTAAAACACATTTAACAATTGTTAACATTTCATGTGCCACAGTAGCATATTTCTTCTGGGCTTCGGTCCATTTACCAGAGTGAAATCTTATTAGGTATTCACTCTTATTGTTGGGATTCACTTGTTTTAAAATCCCTCCATAGCCAACATTAGACGCATCTGTCTCGATAACCTATTGCCAAGTAGGATTAGCAAGGGTTAAACAAGGTAGAGATTTAACACGCTGTTTAATACTTTTGACTAACTCAGTATGCTGGACAGTCCAAGGCTGTCTATGATCCTTTTTCAGCCTATCGTATAGAGGAGCTAGATCTCGTGATAAACTTTTGTAGAAAAGGGATATATAATTCAAACTTCCCAAAAATCTTTGTAATTGAGTCCTGTCAGTAATAACATCAGGAAATTTCGAGGCCAAATCAATTGATCTTTGTATTGGGGTAATTTTTCCCTGGAAAATATTATGACCCAAAAAACGAACATTCGTTTGGAATAGACTCATCTTTGGTTTAGAAATTACTAAACCGTTTTGTATAACAATTTTCTTAAAAATATCAAGATGCTTAATATGCATCTCCAAAGTTTTAGAAAATACTAATATGTCGTCAATATAAACGATGACAAAATCTAGATAAGGGTTAAAAATATCATTCATAATTTTTTGAAATTCAGAAGGGGCATTTTTTAAACCAAATGGCATAACATTCCATTCATATTGCCCAAATGGAACATTGAAAGCAGTTCTATAAGTATGCTCTTTAAAGACTTGAATTTGCCAATAACAAGATTTTAAATCAAATTTTGAAAATATATTGGCGTCATATAACCTAGATAGCAAGTCCCTTTTATTAGGGATAGGATACCTAATCCATTTTAGATGTTTATTTAATGGTTTATAATTTATAACTAAGCGAGGGATACCTCGTTCCTTTTCTGCCGCATTATTAACATAAAAGGCAGAACATGACCAAGGAGATTTTGAGGGTTTTATCAAACCCTTTTGTAACAAACTATCAATCTCGTTTTTGCAGAATTCAACTAGTTCAGCATTCATCTGGCAAGGTCGAGATTTAGTAGGAATATCATCCTCAGAGAAGTTTTCTTCGTAAGGAAGAGTTACAATATGCCTTTTCCGATTCCAAAAGGCACTAGGGTGATCGGCGCAAACATCAACAGCCATCTTTTCAACAATCAATTTAATCTTTTGCTGAATTTTAGCAGACTGTTAAGTATCGAATATATTCATGCTAAGAATTTCTAATTGTAATGAATCAACATGCCTTTGTTTCA